AGGAGATTGATATCAATCTCCTGGTGTGCATTGAATACGTTGCTGGAGTCAGGACGTGGTTAGCCTAGCTTAGCATGATGACTGAGCACCTAAAACCACACATTGTCATCTTTACATTTCTGTAAATGCGGAGATGAAACAAATGAAACGCCTTATGTTCATCAGTGAGCTTTAGAGGTGTTGGTAGGTGTTTAGCCAGGCTAGCGGTTTCTACCTGCTTCCAGTCTTTATTCTAGGCTAGGCTAACCACATCCTGTTTCCAGCTCTGTAGGCTACCTAACACACAGACATGAGGCTAATATTGATCTTGTGTCTTTTAGAAAGTGATATTATAGTAATAGTTTTAGATCATTTAGAATTTAAGAAAGGTATAAGAGGTTGAGCCAGCAATAGATCATATAGATCTGACTGTTTGATACATTTTAGCTGTAGTCAAAGTCTGGCTTGCTCCAGAAAGGGAACATTTCAGCATTGAGAACATGACTTTTAGAACAAAGAAGCAACAGAGTAAATCTTTAAACTTCAAACCTTCCAGCAGCTACAACCAGCAACAGCAGGACCAGTTAGTGCAGATATGAAGGCTGCAGCAGGTAAACATAATGAAAGCCTTGGTGAGAACAGGATGTTACCTGCAGCTCCTTTCTTCTGCACCTTCCCTACAGTATAGCAGTGTGTGGCCTCCTCTGCAAGCACCGTCGCTCCATAAGCATAATTGCTGTAATGCGTATCAATCAGTGAATCAAACTTTATTTAATAACACATTTCATAGTGCAGTTCAAAGTGCTTCATGTAGTGCAGAGCTCAACAGGTCACCAGCCACATTAGTCTTAATCATCAGCCTCCCTCCAGCCAGCGGTACGCACTAAGGTCAGCTCTGACTGCTTGCTGGAGCATACTCATCACCATCACACTGCGCTTTTGATCTGCACGGGAATACTGGCAAGCAGGTTGGCAGCATCTGTATCAGTGTGGCGGAAAGAGCTGCCGTCAACAACTGACCCTGGAAGTCAAAAAAAAGAAAGAAAACTCTTTTCCATCCATCAGCACTTCTAATCAGAAATCTGCCACAACCTGCTATTTTGCGGTGTGTGTGTGTCTGGGTATGTGTCTGTCTGTATGTTTGTGAATATGCTTGCACTGTATTTGTGTGCGTGTGTGTGTGTGTGCACGCCTTGTGTTTGTGCCATCCTTGCATTTTCCTCCCACTGCAACAAACCGAAGTCCAAGCGAATGCATTCCAGGGTAGAAATAGCATGTTTGGATTGTTGTGAACCTCGCAACCGCATCTGGAAACATTATTCTTGGAAGACCAAGGAAGCCAACTGAGAAATGTTTAGTGGAAATAAGCAAACTTTACAACAGCTGGACCTAGCCAGAACTCTAGAAGAGTCTGGACTGACATAGCTGTTCCACAACAGCCCCCATACCAGGCTATCTGTTGTAGCAGTAGATTGCTCTAGTCAAGTCATTACTACGTTTCTGTCACAGGTAAACAGCTAAATGTACTATTACAAATGCAAGTCAGGGCTCAGGGCAGCCTCGCAAAGCCAGTCCACAATTTCCACTTCCCTCCTTGTGGTTTAGGCTCAGTATGCATTTGCTTGTGTCAGACGTCATTTCTAGTAAGCCCGTACAGTAGATAGTAAATGATTGACAAGTGCTCTCCTGTACTGAGATATCTTCTTGCACCTGATTGGACAAAAGCACCACTCACTGAGCTGTGACTAGTCTTCAGATATGCTGATTGTTCTCGAAATACTGTCAACCGTCTAAATCGAAAACTTGATGTCAAAAATAGGTCAGTGCATTCATTGGCTCATTTGCAAAACCTGGCCTATATAGGTGGTCATGACTTTTGTTAATTTTAATAGGTGAAGGGTTACATCAGCACCTGCAACACTTTACACTATAGTTGGCAGATTGGTCTGGCTTCCAGCTCAGTTGATTATCAGTGGGTGCTGTCCAGTCTTAAGTTCTACAATATTGAGTTTCAGCAAGGTTTGAACCATTTTTGTGAGGCTGATTCAAGCCCAAAAATTCCTGCATAAATCAGGTAGACACAATTAGTAAAATTTGTAAAACTAAACTTTTAAGGTCGTAAAGGAAGACTAGTGAGCAGATAAGTCTTCCGTGTTTTAAAGACACCAACGACTTCTGTCGTCTCGCCACTTGTTAGCAACTGCCTTTTTTAAGATACGTAAAAGGTTCAAAATTCACAGATGGAGTATTTACTGATGTATTTTATGTCATAGAACAAAACCAAAAAAAATCTCTGTAACACAAGCTTATTGTGTTAACCACAAACCTTATTTTAAGCACCTAACCAAAAACCCACTGAGTTTGAGGGATGACATATTCTCTAACATTGTTCAACTTAGTACTTGAAACAGTAATCTTCCTCCTCCTTGCAGCCTTTTTATTCCACATTTAAACCTTTCACAATCCATTTTGTGGATTGAAAAGTTGCCTGTAAATGCTCCTGCCAGTGTATTCTATATCTCCTAATATATCTCAAGGTCACCTTCTGTGCAATAACATCTCTATATCCTGATGCAATTGTTGCTTTGGAACAGCACTTGTGCGTTGGTAGTGCCGAGCACTTGATGCAGGTTTTTCAAAGGTTGTACTGGTGTCTACAGGATGATTGCTAGGTGTGGCACATGGAAACAAACAGAATGCCTCATCCAATGATTTCATTCAGCACCCCTATATGTTTTTGTGGGAACTGTCAACTGGATTGATTGCTTTGGGAAGGAAAACCGTTTGCCAATGTAACAATAGTCGGTGATCAGAGTCTTGACTGATCACTGACAGCGAGCTCCCTTTCACTGCGTTATTATCCCCTTCCTTTCCACTTACACGGTGAGGGGCTCCTATTTTCACAAGATGGTAGCTAGTTCTATTTGCAAGGCGAAGACGCCTCTCAGTCTCCATTTACACACTTGGAGTAGTAGCTAAGCTCGCACCATTCCACACATACATACACCATCTTTTCCTGAGGCCTGGAGTGTGTGTGGGGATAGCAGATCCTCTGGCTCTGAAAATCCTGGATGATGGGAGAAAGGATTGTGTTTTGGCAAGTGATGGCACTCGTTGCTGTGTTGGATTTTTGAGTCTTTATTTACTTAAGGGATGTTAGCTGTGCTTCCTCATTTTCAGTAACACTTCTCCTCTTGCAAAGCATTTTTCATACATAAAAGTATGAGTCATTGAGAGCTTTTTTCGCTTAACTTGTAATGTGTTATTCCTTTATGTACACAAAAACATGTAATAAAAGACATCAGGTTATCAGTTCCATATGTATGAGCTGTCTCAAATGCAAGTTATACAAGACACAATCTCTAGACCAGGGACAAAGATTTTGGAATTGGACGTGTTCTGGTGTCCCTTTATAGTATGAGTAGTATTAAGCAATCGCCTTTGAGCAGGCTTTGGTTACGGAACCCATCAGCTATCGTCTGATGCATTCATATGCAGATAATTGTTTATGGATATTAGCCAAAATGCATCTTTCCTCGTCATACTCACGTATCAAGTTGCTAATCTGACAGCAGAGGAAGTCTTGGCTTGGATACCCATTGTCCAGAACCCCCAAAATATTGGCTGCTTCCCCTCAGAGGCTAAATCGTGGTGAGACGACAGTCGATGGGTTCTGAGATTGAACAACATCCAGCACTTCCTCCAATCATAATGTGGAGAAATTTCATTAGAACAATTCCCTCCTGAATGAGAACAATTTCTGTGTGTAATCACATTTACTAGACCTCTACATTTGTCTGATAGCTTGTAAGCTAACTAAAAAAAACTGATAGGAACTTTTTGGAGGAAATCTAATTTGCAGCACTGTGTAAAACTAGGGCAAAAGGAGAAAGTCACCTCATGTCAAGGCATTCATTTTGACATAAAATTTAATTTTATTCAGTGAAATAGCAGACATTAACTCAATTTCAGAATTCTACTCTTTAACTCCTAATCACCCAAGAACAGGAAGGGTCTGGACTGCTTCAGTTAGTGTGCTGTTGTGTCAGCAGGGGACTGAGAGTAGTAGAGTTCATTTCAAACTTGTGACCACAAGCCCATGGCTGAGTGTGTCTGAGGGAAGATAGCTGTGTGTCTGTCATCACAGGGTGAGCTGGATGGAACGTTTGGCAGGAAAATCAGGGGCACGTGCTGTTGTGTTCCCAGAGATGAGCTTCTTGGGCTTTGTGTTTTGATGGAAGTGTGGAGTTATGCTGACTCCAGCCAGGCGAAGAAGCTGGAGCCAAAGTCGATTTTAACTCTTTTTGTTTCGTTTAATATTATTTATTGTAATACACCTGGGAATTTCAATGCAGTACTCAGAGACAACAGTCTTATGTGCCCGTACTTCTTTAACTGTTCTATTCTAATGGTTAAAAGCCAACCTCTCTACTGTAATTTGGGTTCTTATCCTGTGGAGAAGCTGCTCCTGTACTCATATTCTCACCCTGCTTCAGCTGAGGTTTACTTGCTGAGTGTGTCCAAGCTGCTCAGCATACCTTTACAGTGAGTCCCTCTTAGATTACAAACACATGTGGACCTCTAAAGCAAATAGTACAGCACACTTTACTCTGCACTCTCTTGTCTACCTTTCATTTAAACATGACTGGCTTTTAAAAAAAAACTTTGTTGTTTGTTGATGTAGTTACCGGTTTTGTGTGTGTACGTGTGTGATTTTTGTGTGCAGTTGGTGCAAGTGGAAATGTGTGGACTACTCTCAAAGTCAGCCTTTTGTGATTCATGTATGGATGTTTTGTATGGGTCCACGGTGAGCAGGGTGCATGCACAGCAACATTTTGCTGGCTTTTAAATGTTAAAGGGGGAGCGACCACGTGAAGCAGAGAGCAGCAGGCAGTCAGGCTTGTATGTGTTGAATCATGAGGCTGGCTGCTGCAGACCGCCGAGGCTGATGTCAGCCCTGCGGTATGCGCTTGCTGGGCTCGGCTGTAAGCTGACCCCCTCTGTTGTGCTTCTATTTCCAGGGCGTGAGCGGAATGTCCGTGGATGAGAAGCCTGAAGCCCCCATGTATGTGTATGAGTCGACGGTTCATTGTACCAATATCCTCCTCTGCCTCAACGACCAGCGGAAGCAGGATATCCTGTGCGATGTGACTGTCCGGGTGGAGGGCAAGGAGTTCCGCGGGCACCGGGCCGTGCTGGCCGCCTGCAGCGAGTATTTCCTCCAGGCGCTGGTAGGCCAGGCGGAGAATGGCTTGGTCGTTAGCCTTCCGGAAGAGGTACGTCCATCAAACACGCCGTTTCCATGACAGTTTTCTCTTGCAGGGGTGGAACAGCTGTAGACAATGCAACACTCAAGCTCCCCACTGACACCAGTACACAAGCAATACGAACCAGGATCAATTGAATTCAGGTCTAGACCGAACTCCTTATATTAACATTATTTACAGAGACGCAGCAGTACCACCATGAGCACAGCACGTTCGGTGAGCGGGGAGCAAGGAAAACGTGCCTTTTGAACAGGCAGAGAACCTGGGACGAGAATCCTTCGGCTCTAGGTGGGTGGTCATCTGCCTCGACCAGTTAGGGTGTCACCTTCCCCCAGCATCCATAGCCACACACACTGATGAACTGAAAACACTGGACTAAAGCCATCAATTCACCCTCTGCCTCGAGCAAAAACTTACAGAACAAAGTCTTATGTAAACTAAAGTATAGTTAGTAGAGTTGGTCCAAGTTCAAAAGCGTATCCATGAACAAGCCAAGTATGACGTACTTGCACATTACTGTTATTTATTCATTTGGCAGATAATTATGTCCAAAGCAGCTTTAAAGGACCAGTGTGTAGGATTTAGTGGCATCCAGTGGGGAAGTTGCAGATTGCAACCAACTGAATACAGCTGGCTTTCCGAACATTTAGGAGAAACTACGGTGGCCACGAAACTTACAACAAGGAAGCCCGCGTTAGAGCCAGTGTTGG